TTGAAGACAAGGGCAGTCACTCTCACTTCACCTCTAATTCAGCTCTTGTTTGAACCAAGGCTCTAATGAGGTCAGAAAACGAGTAGCCCTGGGCAGAACATAAATTGGGTGTCAATGAGTAGATTATTGCCGAGCAGATGCTGCTTGATGGCACTGTTGATGACACCTTCCATCACTTTACTGATGATCAAGAGTAGACTGATGGGGTGTTAATTGGCTGGGTGTGACTATGTCAGGCTGTTGCTTGGCTCGTCAGGAGAAAATATAACATCACTCTATTCAGGAACAGTGTATTGCTTTTACTGTTTCACATGAGGGAATGTAGCATTACAGTTTCCCACAAGAGAATATAGCATCACTCTATACCAGGAGACAATGGAGCATTAAGTTATACCAAGAAAAAAATATGGCAGCACTTTATTACCAGGGGAGAACGTAACATGAATGGAACTGCTGGGGAAACTCAGCAAGTCTGGCAGCGTCTATGGGAAGAAAGCAGAGTTAACGTTTTCAGTTCGGCAACTCTTCATCATTGTGTCAGTTCTCCAGTATCTCTGCAGTTGTTGTTCTATCATATTTATATGAGAATGTAACATTAATCTGTAGTGGGAGGGAATACAATAACACTCCATACCAGGGAAAATAAAACATCATTCTATGTCAGAAGACATCACTCGATAGCTCAAGAGAAATCTGTACCAGTCTATTCCAGGAGACAGTATATCTATACATATCATGAAAGTGTGTAGCACCACTGTTTCCCTGAAGACAATCTAGAATTTCTCAATACCAGGAGAAAGTATAATATTGCACTACAAAAACAAAGTTGCTGGAAAAGCTCAGCAAGCCTGGCAGCAACTGTGGAGGAAAAAACAGAGTTAACGTTTCGGGTCCGGTGACCCTTCCTCAGAACAGTTCTTTCAGTTTTTATATAATATTACACTACACTAGAAGAAAATATAACATCCTCTATACGTGGAAGGAATATAGCATCACACTATACAAGGACAGAAAGTAATATTAATCTATACCAGGATAGAATATAACATCCCTCTATACCAGGAGAGTATGTAACATCCACAGAGAAATTCAGCTGGTCTGGCAGCAGCCGCGGAGAGAGAAACACAGTTAATGATTCAAATCTGGTTTGACTCTTCTTCAGAACTAGGAGACGATATAGCATCAGTATATAACAACAGTCTATATTAAGATACAATATGACATCAAATTATATCAGAAGAGAACATAACATCATTCTATACGAAGACAGAATATAGCAACGCCCTGCAGCAAGATGAATGTGCCATCACTCTACACCAGGACAGAATATAGCAACACCCAATAATAAGACAGACTACAACATCACTCTACACCTGGAGAGACTACAACATCACTCTATCTGCTTCTACCACCTCCCGAGCCAGGCTCCAGGATCCTGTCACCCTATGTGTAAAATACCTTCCTCTCACATCTCTTTTAAACTATTCCCCCTCACCTTAAACCTTTGCTCCCTAGTATTTAACATTTCCACCCTGTTAAAATGACTCCAACTATCCACCCTGTACATGCCTCTTATAATTTTATATACTTCTATCAGGTCAATCCTCAAACAATCCAAGTTTGTCCAAACTCTCCTTATAGCTACAACACTCCAAGCCAGGTAACATCTTGGTAAATCTCTTTTGCATCCTCTCCAAAGGCTCCAAACCTTCCTATAGTGTGATGATCAGAACTGAACACAACACTCATAATGTGGTCTTATGTATTGTTCAATACCAGGGTGGCATAAAACACCACTGTATACCAGGAGGGAATATAACATCGCTGCATACCAGGAGACAATAATAACATTACTGTTTTTCATGAGAAAATATAGCATCCCAGTTTCCTGCAAATGAACACAGTATCATTGTATACCAGAAGAGAATATAACATCACTCTATATCAAGGAAGAATATAAAGTTCATCTACAGCAGGAGAAAATATAACTGAATACTGTACATAAGAGAATATAACATCACTGTTTAAGGAGTCAATACAGCATCACTGTTTTTCACAAGTGAATATAGCATCATTGTATAATAGGATAGAATGTAACATCATGCTACACCAGAAGACAAGAAAACATCACTCAACACCTGGAAATTGTATCACTCCTTATCAGAACAGAATATAACATCGATCTACAGGAAAGTGTATAAAACCTCTACATCAGGAGGGAAATAGCATCACCAGGAGTGAAGACAACATCATTCTATACCAGCAAACAATATGGCAACATTCTATACCAGGGAAGAATATAACATCACTCTGTACCAAGGGAGCATATAGGAAATAACTATTAAGCTTTTGAAGTCGCTGTAGTCCAGAGGACCAAACAGCTGTCTCGCACTACAGAGTGATCCCTGGTGGTGGGTATAACCATGGGTCATCATACCTCAGGCGAGGGGCAAGGTTGAGAAGGCAGGACCTTCATGATGACCTCAGTCAGTCCGGGAAGGTTACTAGGAGATAATATGGCTCACTGTAAACCAGAAAAGAATAAGATATCACTCTAAGAGGATGTATGACGTTATTGTGCCTTTATTAGAGATTTGTTATGTGCTGTTTCTCTTGCAGACAGGTGTTGCCACAGTGGTATCAGAATGTCTGTTTCAGAAGCAGTAGATCAAGAGCTTTGAGCTCCGAGTGTTTTTGTTTAGTTAGACAAAAGAAGCATGAGTGGGTGGAGTCAGGCTCACAGAGACCCAGAGTTTTAGTTTTGCTTTCAGTTGGGAATTGGAGTTGGCTACTGAAGCTGATAGATACAGTTGTCTCTCTCTGCTGCAGCAAAAAGCTTGAGTTCTCTCTCTGCTGCTAGATTGTTTCTTTCAATATTCCTTTCTTCTAGACTGGATAGGAAATAGTACATGAGGAAAATCTGTTATGTAGAATTTGCCTTTGCCAAGGGTATGTTTATGGGATGCTGCTATTTTGGAAGTGATGATGATTAGTAGTTAAATAATATTATTTTAAGTATTTCAATAGAGTCAAAGTTATGCCAATTCTTTTTTGTTTGTATTTTAGCTGTGTTGTAAGGATAAAGGGTGTTTTGCTTAAAGCCTTGTAGTGGACCAATCAAATCACATCTGGAAGGCAGCACCTTACACTTGCCTTTAAATAAAATAGCGAGGGATAGGCTATCTCCTTGATATATTTTGAGGGGCTTTGGTTTGGTCCATAATAGATACTGTTGTGCAGTAGCAGCATCTCTGCCTGTGAGCCAAAAGTTCCCAGTTCAAACCTTATCTGCCACAGACATGTATCACGACATGTCTGAACAGGAGAGAATATTATATCACCCTTTAATTGGTGAGAATATACTGGGACAGAAAATTACATTGTTGCATAACTTAGTGATTCTGAAAAAGTTAATGTTGAGGTTGTAATAGTTCCGCCATATTGATTATGTCAGTCTTTGAATGGAGGAACTTGTTTTTTATCTGAATAGATCAATTGTACTCTGCACAACCTCAGAGTATCTCGTAATTATTCCTGACTAGTATTGTAATCTCCACTCATTCTTATCATGCAAGAAGACGAAGGCAGGTACCTCTTCCGTGGAGACTTTCTGGCATTTTATCAGCTATCAACGATAATGAGACAGGCTCTAGACTCAGTAGAGATAAAGGAGTATTGGTGGCTGCAAACTGCCTGAAATACCCTATCCTAGTACCATACATTGGCAGCGATAGCAAATACCACAAATATCATAGAGATAAATAACTTCACTCCCTACCAGCAGAGTATTAAATCATTTTAATGCAGTAGAAAATATAGTTTGGGATATGGTAAGATAATGGTAACATATGTAATGTGGTAACAAAGTGTAGTAGTAATCCTGAAATGTGGAATGTTGCTCCACAGTTATCAGTTCAAATTGCACCATGGTCGTTGGAGACATTTAAAGTAATATTGAATATGAAATCTGGAATAAAGTACTAGTAACATTAATAATGATCTGAAAATGATCTTTCTTTTGCAAATTAAAAAAAATCACTCAGTAATTACCTTAAGGGAATAAGACATCTTCCACAGTTCCCTGTTCAGGCTCACATTTAACTCCAGTTCCACTCCAATGGGGTTGAGTTTGAAGTAGTCTGGGAAAGTATTCAGATGTAGGCTGCTTGTTACAAACTTGCTCAAGACCAATGAGGTGGTCAATAATGCTGGCCCTGCCAGTGATAGTCACTTTTCAAGGACCAATATTAGAGAAAAAGCTTTACACCAGGAGAGAATATAAGAACACTATATGGAAAGAATATAACATTACTTCACACTCAGAGAATGTAATGTCATTCTACACCACAGGAGCACACAACATTATTGTAAAATTGAGTGAACCATCCTGGTCAGATTCCTGTTGTTATTAATGGCAGTCTCTAACCTCTGCAATTCATCAAACTCACTGTATTCTACAAATCAATGGTTACCAAAACATCCCAGCTATTGAGTGGAAAACCTCAAAGCCATATTCCATCAATCGAACATACTTGGAGTCCCACTCAGCTTATAATGAGTCTTCTATCACCAACCTACTCACCAATCACCTGCACACTGACGCTCAGTTGAGGTTCTGACAGAGTGACTCCTCTCCAGTCTTCCTTTTGGTCAATGGTCAGTCATGGACAAATTATCTTAGTTCCAGCAAAGATGCAAGAGTGTCTCCTTGAGCACTTAACAGAGTGTGGCACCAAGTGACCCCAGCAAAACTAAAGACAATGGGAATCAAAAAGGATCTTTGCTGACACAGAGGAAGGTAGCTGTGATGGTTGGAGACCAGTTATCAGTCATGAGGCCATTGCTGTAGGAGTTTTTCAGGTGAGTGTCCAAGTCCCAAACATCTTCAGCTACTTCATTAGTGAACTCCTCAAGTCAGGGATGGAGATGTTCACTACTAATTCTGCAACATTCAATTCCATTCGCAATTCCTCAGGTGAAGCAGTCCATGTCCACTTGCAGTAAATCAGAACAACATGCAGGTTAGGGCTGTCAAATGGCAAATCATGTTTCTGCCTCCCAAGTACAAGGCAATGAACACCACCAAACTGAGAGACAAATCACCTCCCTTTGACATTCAAATCGTTGGTTTGCTTGCTATCAGCATTCTGAGTGCAAGGATGTCCACTGGTGACCAGGAGCTGAACTAGGTAAGCTCCATAACTACTGTGAGCCAGATCAGAGGTTGGGAATTCTGTAACTGACCTCCTGACACCCAGAGTCTGTCCATCATCTTGTAATAAATGTCAAGAGTAACATAATGTAATATTCTCCATTTCTCACAAGCCCAAAACAGGAACATGAGAATACTTTCCCCTTTGGGTCAATGGCAGTGGTGGCCGTGAGATTGATTTGTCCATTCTGGAACAATCGCAAGTATTCTGGAAGGGTTGGCAAATCCTATGTGGGAAAAGCACAAGATTAAGAGGCGATAGTTCTAAGCACAGGTCAGAGATATCAACAGGTTAATTAGTGATCTATCCCAGAAACAATACCTGTTCGGACAGAAGTATCCAAACATGCTCAGGGTCTTGTAGTGCAGTGGCAATGCCCCACCTCAGGGCCAGAAGATCTGAGTTCAAGTCTCACCTGTCCCAGGCTGTGTCAAAGCATGTTTGAAAAGATTGATTAAAATAACTCCAAAGGTGCTGATTTCATAGCCTGGCAATCAAATAGCTTGCGTTGATAAAGCACCTTTTAACACTTCTGACGAAGTCAAATGATTTTTGAAGTGTGACCATGGTGGAAAGCAGCAGCTAATTTCTGCTCAGAGCCAATTCTCTGAAATAATTAACAGATAATGGGTTTTAGTGTAAAATAGTGGCTCAGACACAGGAGGATTTCTCCCCTGTTCCTCTCCTAAAGTTTTGCATATTCTCCTGGGTATGCAAACAGTGTTTTAGTTTAGGTCTCAAAGCAACTCCTGTTAATATCAAGCCAGTTGGTGAGATAACTTTGAACAATTTCTCAATGTTACAACTCTCATCCAACCACATACCCGTCATCCCGTCTTCCATGCTTTGCCTCATTTATAGTTGTTTAAACACTGAGACATATTATGACAGTCCTCCAGGGCAGGTGGGACTTGAACCCACTGGTAGGGACACTACCACTTTGTGCCACAAGATCCTTTCCCCTATTTATGTGTGGATATTTTCTAATCAATCTGTTCAGCAATGCTACTACACATCTTTTGGGCAGGTGGGACTTGAACCCAGGTCTCCTGGCTCAGAGGCAGGGGCACTAACACTGCACCTTATTTATACACATGGACTATTTTAATGTCAACCTGTTCGGACACATGTGTTGGGCAGTCAGGATTTGAACCAAGGCTTTCTGACTCAGAGATAGGACACTACCGCTGCACAAGAACCCTCTTGTTTATGTCTGGACATTTTCGAATCAACGTGTTCAATGATGTTTTCACATTCATCTGGAGCAGATGGGACTGGCTCAGAGGCAGTGACATTACCACTGCACCACAAAAGTCCTCTATTTATATGTGCCTTTGTGTTGCTGGCCCTTCTACCACGGCAAAAAGTTTTTCCAGATTTCTGTGCTCAAACCTTATCAGTATATCGAACTCTTCTAGTTATTTTCCTAATCAACCTGTTCAGAAATGTTATCACACACCACTGGAGCAGATGGGACTTGAACCTGGCCCTTCGAGTTCACACCATCACTGCATCACAAGAGCCCTTTTATTTATATGTGGTCATTTTTTTCATCTGTTAACCACCACCAGTAAATCACCCAGCTTTTCAATTGAATGATTTACATGTAGAGCTCATTAAGTACAATGCAAACCACCAAAGGTAAGAAAAAGGTATAGAGAGAAGGAAGGGGGTAAATCAAAATGGAGTTGGTAGAGGAGATAAAGCACTCCACCCACTGTGGTGCCCAGCTCTCTCTAAAGGCATGGAGAGTATTGGTGGACACCATGTGTTTTCTCTCTAAGGAAACCCAGGCATGAACATAGCCGCAAAAGAGGGGCAGATAGTCAGCAGCTTTGACCCCTCCACAGCCTGCTGCCTGGACCTGTTAATAGCCAAATGGGCCTACCCCAGGAGCAGACCAAAGAGGAGGTCTTCTGACTTGTATCTTATTTATATGTGGAGATATTTTCCAATAAACCTTTTAAGAGATGATATACACACCTCTAGAGCATGGAGGAATTGAACCCACGCCTCCTGGCTGAGATAGCAACACAACCACTGTGCCTCAACAGCTGTTTTTTTTTTATTAAACCTATGTTGCTCAATAACCTGTTCAGAGATATTATTACACACCTCTGGAGCAGGTGGGACTTGAATGCAGGCCTCCTGGTCCAGGGATAATGACGCTACCACTGTTCCACAAGAGCCTATGCTTATTTATACGTGATCAAAGACAATCAACACCCACCACTTGTTTCTCTTAATGTTAACAGTGACATTAACAAGCCTTAACAATGTGATTAACAAGACATTAACGGATTCCCCTCTTTAAATTCAAAAGCCTCAAGAACAATCTTTCAAAAACTGATTGAAATGAAATAAAATGATCTTTTCATCTGTTTTCCAAATTATAACACAACTAAATAATGACAGATCAAATATTCCTCTTTCTTTTAACAAGTTTTATGAACAGTTACAAAGCAATTAAAGCAAAATATGCTATCCTTATTTTTATGACACATTATTCCATGTTCTTATGAAAACATAAGAAGTCCCTCTTTGATAGCATATAATAATTTCTTAAGGCAAGTATTTTGCTTTGCAGATATATTCCTAAGCAACTTGCTTAGAGATGTTACTATACACCTCTGGAACAGGTGAGACATGAACATAGGCATCCTGGCACATGGATATGGACACTACCACTGTACCACAGAAGCCAGCACCATTCTCTTTGTAATTGATAATTGATGACTGCTTTCATGTAGTTTGCAAGTCCATGGTTTCCAAGTGCTCCCTTCCTTGCCTAGTTATCATGGTCAACTCCAGTGTTGAAATTGCCAAGAATGACAATTTTGACCTCAGGAAGGGCAATCTGTGTATTCTGTCAGGCTGCCTTACTCCAATTAATAGGCCTCCCTCAGGGCTGCTATGCTGATGTCTAGTCTGGCCATTCATGGGTCCCCCGATCGAAACATGATTGGGCAACTGTTCTAACAAGAATCAAGCATTGTTCTCATATTCCAGCGGGTGAGTTTCAGAAATTTTCATCCTTTCCCACCGCTTGAAGTGTTGTTGACCAGGTAGTGGGGACTCACATATTTGTTTCAGTCATCCATTCCAGGCCCCTCTGACTCAGCAGCAAGAAGTATTGTCTTTCAGAAAGATTGCTCAGATTGCAATCAGCTGATCTTATCATCAAAATGTTCAGCGTCTTGAGCCACCTGCATGCAGGATTGGAACTGGGGCTCCCAGTGTCCTTACACCTACCGGTTTTGTCCCTTTCCTGACCTTACAGAACTTCATTGTGTTGCAGTTCAGTAGAGCTTTAAGGTAGAGTACAGTGTTGGTTGATTCTTAATTATACTCTGAAATGGCCGAGCAAAGTCATTCAGCTAAAAGGCATTTAGGAACATGCAATAAATGCCAGCCTTGCTAGCAACACCCACATTTCATGGAAGAATAAAGAACTAGCTAATCTTTTGTAGAGTTTTTCTGCAGTCTTTCTCTAATATTGTCACCAGAGCCAGGTCTATAACATACAGCAGTTAGTATAAGACCATAAGATATACCAGCAGAATTAGGCATTTGGCTTATGGAGTCCATCATTCAATCATGGCTGATATGTTTTTCAACCATATACTCCTGTCTTCTCCCTGTAACCTTTGGTCCCCTTACTAATCAATCTATCTATTGCATTTGGAATATTTTGGGCCTTACATCTAAGGAAGAATGTGTTTGTATTGGTGGGGGTCCAGAGGAGGTTTACAAGAATGATCCTGGGGATGAAGGACTTGTCATTTCAGGAGCAGTTGAAGACTCTGGGTCCGTACTCACTGAAATTTAGAAGGATGAAGGGGGATCTCATTGAAACTTATTGATTACTGACAAGCCTGGAGAGTGGACTTGGAGAATATGTTTCCATTAATAGGAGAGACTAGGACCTGAGGGCATAGCCTCAGACTGAAGGGATAACCCTTCATAACTTAGATGAGTGGGAATTCCTTCTGCCAGATGGTGGTGAATCTGTGGAACACATCGCTGCAGAAGGCTGTGGAGGCCAAGTCATTGAGAATATTTAAGAAAGAAATAGGTATATTCTTGATCACGGGTTACAGGGACAAGATAGGAGAATGGGCCAACTGGGCTAATTACGCCCCACATAATAGTGCAAAACCATCACTTTAAAGTCCCTTACAGTTCTGAAGAAGAGTCATATCATATTCAAAACGTTAATTCTGTTTCCATCTCCACAGATGCTGCCAAACCTGCTGAGTTTCTCCAGCACTTTCTGTTTTTATTGCAGGTTTTCAGCATGTATAATACTTGACTTTTATTGTGGCCTAACTTCCATTTTTCACTCTCCGTCCTCCACAATCCTTGCCACCCCCATTTTGATTAAAAAAATGTCTAACTCAGCCTTGAATAAACTCAATGACACAGCCTCTACTGCTTTCTGGGGAAGAGATCACAGTGGGCAAATGAGCCTCTGAGAGAAAATAATAATAATTTTTTCCCTGTCTTAAAAGGGAGACCTCTTATTCTTAAATAGCAACCCCTGGTTCTGGTCTGTTGCACAAGAGAAGGCATCTCCCAGTATCTACCCAATCTAGCCCCCTCAGGATCTAATACATTTCAATGTGATCGCCTCTCATTCTTCTAAACGCCAGTATGTATAGGCCATACTGTTCAATTGGAGCCATCAACCCTGGGCAGTTGTAACTATACCCATAATAGTAATCCATATACCGTCATGTTCAGTGCAGTTTGATTTCCCAAATAGTGTTGTTATATTTAAAAATTACCTTAAGATCAACATGCAGGCAGAAACATCCTTAATATTGAAATGAATGAGACATCTGCATTAGGAACGTTGCTAGATTGTCTACAAATTGTGATTAAAAAATCTAATTATCACATTGCTGACTGCCTCTGGTTCCCTGTTAAGCTGAAACATGGAAACAGCTCATGAATCAAAAAATGAGGTGATGATCTGGTGTAAAACTTGCCTGGGCAAGTAAATAAAGCCAAATTCACACAGTTTGTGTTATGAGGTTTCTTTAAAATTCATTCACGGGATGTGGGCATTGCTAGCTGGGGTGGCATTTACTGCCTATCCCTAAATCCCCGAAGAAGGAGGTGAGCAACCGTCTTGAACTGCTATAGTCCATATAGACTGGGAAACTCACAGTGATGTCAGACGAGGATAGCGGGGAGAAGGGGTCAGTTCCAAGAGTTTGACCT